TGAATTGATTGCATCGCAAACGCCGTCCCGACAGCTCTTCGTCTCCAAATCGGGACTAAACCACACGAATGGCAACAACAGTGATAATTGTGATAAACTGAGCGCTCATTTGAGTAATTACTTGAATCTCAACACAAACTCAGCCGTCCATAAAGTGTCGCCATATTTGGATCAGTTGAGAGCTATTAAATCAGAGGCCGAATGCAATGCTATGCGAAGAGTTTGTAACATTGGTTCTCAAGCCATACTCAATACCATGATTTGGACGAAACAGATGTCACGAAACAGTCTCATCAATGAGTCACAAATTGCGGCCAAATTTGAGTTTGAATCGCGTGTTAGCGGCGCCCGAAAGATAGCTTTCCCTACAGTTTGCGGTTCGGGTCAAAGGTCGACAATCATTCATTACGGCGCTAACGACCAGTTCTGTGCCAACGATGACTGGGTTTTAATTGACGCCGGCTGTGAAGATGTGGACGGATATAACAGTGACATCACGAGGACGTGGCCTATAAATGGTAACTTCGGTGCCAATAGACTCCGGAGTGATCTCTACGAAGCTCTCTGTGAAGTGCAATCAGAGCTCATCTCTACGTTATCTGCGGACCCAATGCTAACACTGGACCAGCTCTTCAAACTGATGTGTGACTTACTCGGCAAGGTTTTGGTCGATTTCAAAGCCCTCAACATATCCGTCTCCACACAAGAGGCCGCAGCCCTGGCCTATCGCTTCTGCCCTCATCACGTCTCACACTATTTGGGTTAATATCCTTTCATTTAATTTAATTTCCAAACAAAATGTGGCTAAAGTTTGCTAACATTTACACATTTAAATGAATATACAGGACTCGATATACACGACTGTCCGACTGTGTCCAGGAATATACGGCTCAAACCTGGCCATTGCTTTACAGTAGAGCCGGGACTTTACTTTCATAAAAGTCATACAATGATTAAACCCGAGTTCAAAGGCATTGGAATGCGTGTGGAGGACGACCTCCTAATCAATAGTGAGGGACAGGTTGAGGTGTTGAGTAAGGGATGTCCGCATAAACCGAATCTCTTATAACTTGTGAACACCTAACACCTAACCTACAAAAGTATTAGTTTCAAGTATTTTGTTGTATTCTAAATTAAATCTTATTTGACTTTATTTGGATGTAAAATATGGAATAATTTGATTAAATTGTTAATTTGTTTTGTTTGGTTTGATAAGAGTTTTTGTTTGCATTAATATATTATATAAGACATTGAAACTGATAAACTCTAACAATCAGTGAGAAGTTATATTTA